CACAGAAGCCACCGCTGTAGCTCCCCCTGCTACTAAAACCTTACCAGGCAAACTCAGTACAGCTTGCTACAATGTAAAGGGTAGGACAAGACCAAAATGTACCTCCTTTCATTGGGAGTAAACTGGAATTAAGCTTAATTAGGAATTAGGAAAACTAAGAATTAGGCTGCAGCTTAGGTTATAATGCTATGACTTCACATGAAAAGTAAACAAACTAGACAAAGTTTAACCACAAGTTATGTTTCATAATGGCTCTCAGTGTTTTTTTAATTATAAGGCTACATAATTGAAGGGAAATTGTATTGGGGAAATGAGCCAAATTTATACCTTCGCTTTTTAGAGTGTTGATTTTGAAGAGAAATTGAGTCTATTGCTTTCTGGTTTTAACAGTAAGATTACTTATTAACAGTTTGGTTTTTAAGTGTTAATTTAGCATTATCAAATAGTTTTGTTCTGCTGTGGGTGAAGATTAGAGGTTTTACATCTCTGATGGTGATGAGAGGTGAAAATTCTGTATTTTAAACTTGTGTGAATCTGGTTTATTTGGATGGGCATCTAAAAAGTTCATTTAAAGAATATGTAGCTCACTAAGAATATACGTATTAATTATACTAGTAGCCTTTATGTGCTGTAATAGGCATTGGTGTCTCTAACCTCCTCCTCCTCACAGCTGGGCTTCCTCCTTAGCTAGATTGCTGCAACATAATCCCAAACTTCCCCAGCTTAATGCATAGTTTGGACTTTCTCCCGGACCATTGCCATGCCCCTATTCTATCTCTGTTTTTCCATGTTGGTGCGAATTGTTGGGTAGGTTTTTGTGTTGAGAGAGTTCTTCGTTGCCTCGTGGGTATTGTGTACATCCTTATGCAATCAGTGCCTTGAAATGCTGTCTGATAGTGGTGTGAAGTCTAAAGATAGCTTGCATTCAGTGTTGAATGTCATCTTCAGCAAGCTTAAAGGGGTATTCTGCTGCCATTTGAGTATCACTTCTAATCACCTCAGTCTTCCTCATCTCCAGTAATGTAGAGTTTGGAGGGCTGGCCAGACACAGGGCTTTTCCCCCAGCAGCTGGAACTGCGCAAACACTTTCTTCCTCTTCTTTCAGTGGTGAAAGTGGTGCTGGTAAGACTGAAAGCACAAAGCTGATTCTCAAGTTCTTGTCTGCAATGAGCCAACATTCTCTGGAGCTGTCCTGCAGAGAGAAGACCTCCTGTGTGGAGCAAGCTATTCTTGAGAGCAGGTACTAGACCTTTCAATACACAGGTGTTTTTTCCAGAAGATATAAGCCTTGTCACTTAAATGAGAGCTTGCAATGTAATTAAAGATGTGGGGGCGTTTACTGAACAATAAAATGAATACTGGAAAGGGGGAAATTTTCCGTTGAACAAAATTACCTGGCTGCTCTTAGAGAGTTGTGAGCACAGTGGTATATCTTAATGCAGCAAAAAGATGCAGAGTTTTGAAATGGACGATGCTCTAGTAGTGGCTTTCATTTTTGTTTGGGGCTGACTTCAGATAATCAGAGTGAGGAGAATGGGTGATGGGAGGGAGAAACCATTGCTTTGGTTTATATAGCCTGAGGTTAGGGTAGAACAAGATACAGCACAGTGAGGATAAAGTGTACAAGTGGTAAAAGCATGCTGAGGAAAGGGGGGATAAGGAGGACTGATAAGACAGAGGAGTAAATGCATCAGATAAATTGGACATACTCTATGCAAGGAAAAAAACCCACTCAGTGTTCAAATGAAATAACATCTGGTTCTAAACTATTAAAAACAAAGACAATTTGAGATGCTATTACTTTTATTTATCATGCTTCATCTCTGTTTTACCTGCTGTATCTTGATGTAATTATTTTTTTTTAATTACCTTAGGACAAGGACTATTTTCCCTACGTCTGTCTAGCATTTTGCATGTGCTGAGATTTCTTACTTCTATAATTTGAGTACTGCAATGAAAAATGCATGCATCTTTTGAGCAGTTACAGATTAAGATCTGGAGTAATTTAGAATGATTAATTGTCCTGTTGCTTGAATACTTATAACTTTTAATAGAAAATTGAGATGGCAATTGTTAATAAATTGAGGATAATACTGAGGGTGTAGGCTGTGGCTGAGAAGGGTGTCAGAAGTGAGCTTTGCAGAGTGCTGTTCCTTTCACCAGTCCCGTGTGAAACCATTGGCATGCTGGTCCCCTACTAACGCTTTTGTCGTTCTGTATTTTCACAGCCCAATTATGGAAGCTTTTGGCAATGCGAAGACTGTTTACAACAACAACTCCAGTCGCTTTGGGAAGTTTATTCAGCTGAACATCTGTCAGAAAGGAAACATTCAGGGAGGAAGAATTATAGATTGTATCCTCGTTTGGCAACTTTACCCCTGTTTGTGGGCCGCCCCCATGTACCTCCTCTGTGTAGGGCTGAGGGAGAAGTGGCTTCCTTGTCTGTCCTTTCACCCCATCCTGAAACATACACAATTAAATTGAGCTGATGTAGATCGGAAAGGGAAGCAGTAACACCAAATTCTGCATGTGTTTGCGTGCATGCATGTATTTGTGGTGGGGTAGGGTTTATATACTCTTGGAGGACCAGGATTTTGTACTGCTACTGCTACCGTGGCTCATATGGACGTTCCTACGTAGTGAGCTAAAACAGCCTGAGTTCTTGGGGATAACTTCAGTTGTCAGCTATTTCCCTCATTTATTATATCCAAAGATAAGCTTCTTAGTTTTCTGGAAAAGTACTTGAAAGAGCAGAGCTGCTGAATTTCTGCAGTGTGAGCCTGGGTGGGTCAAATCCTTGGATTTGTCCTGCATTTGGCAAAATTGGACTATGAGCCACCTCCACCAGAGCACCAGAGGTGGGGGGATGGGGATTATACCGAGGGGATCCTACCTAGTGTTTTGAACATAAACTGCTTTTACAGTGGGACAAATTTCATCCTTAAAACTGTTTCCAAGCTTTAGGGAAAAGAAAAATTAAAGGAAAGTAGATGTCAATTAAAATCCAGAATACGTCAAGTCCAGTTTTGATGGGATGGAGGAGAAGGAGGTGTGGGAACACATTGGTATTAGAACTGCTGCAATATTATCATTGTTGCTACTTTATTGATCTTGTTATGGCAGTAGGCATGTCATAAGAAAAGACCATGATGCTCTTCCTATTGTCTCAAATGAAAGAAGGAAGATTATAAATAGCGTGTGCATTAATTGTTTTTTACTTTATTCCTTGACTGAAGTTTTTCTTCCTGGCTATAGATTTATTGGAAAAAGTAAGTTGATGTTTGCTTTCGCTCAGTTAATTTTGCTTGATTTAATATTTTCTTTGAAATTGTGGATAAAAAAATTCACCTTAAAAATTATTGCTTAAATGGAAACTATTTTTTACTTTGACAGAATCGTGTAGTAAGACAAAACCCCGGGGAAAGAAATTATCATATATTCTATGCTCTGCTGGCAGGGATAGAAGAGACAGAGAAAGGTGAGTGGCAAAGCACAAGTCACACAACTGTAGTGGCTTTCTGCTACCAGTCAGCCATGGTGACAGCAGTGGAGAATTTAACTGCAGAAATCTGCCAGCTCAAGCAGAGAAATATGTTATTTATTCAGCCAGGATTCAGTGAGTGTGAATTTGAGCTCAACTTGATAAAGGAACCTGCTTATTTGAAGAATGTCACTGAGCTGCCGGTAATTTTTCTCCTAGTTTCTGCTGTGGCCCTGGAAAAATTACTTGGGGACAGACATGCCTCATTCTGTTCAAGCTGAATATTTTTGCTGGTACTAAACAACTCCACAGCAACAAAGAGAAATAATTCTGGTTCCTTTAATCCTCTCTCATAAAGAATAAATCCACTGAACAAAAGAAATGAGATTTGTGTATGTGCAAAATTGCATAAAGCTGTCTTGGCATCTCCCTTTGGGCCTACTGTCTTTGCACGCTAAAAAGTAGAGTTAACTCCATTGTGCAGCTAAATAGAGCAAAAACTAGCAAAATAAAACCCCATTTCTGATTTTAATATAAAACTTTGTTTTGTGCATCATCGTAAGTTCTGAGCAAATGAATTGTGAACTATTTAGCTCTGACATAGTAATTTGTGGAGTGCTTTTGTTTCGGGTTGTTTTTTCTTTCATTTGTCCTCTTTTCTCTCCTCAATAGATGCTTTTTACTTATCTGTACCAGAGAACTATCACTACCTGAATCAGTCTGGATGTATAGCGGATAAGACAATCAGTGACAAAGATTCTTTCAAGGAAGTCATTGTGAGTTGTTTTGCTAGTTCTTTATGCTTTAAAAATGCTGAAGATTCAGGCGCCTGGGGCCCATTGACAGAGCAGAGGACAAAGCCTTCTTGTGCTTACCTGTACATGCAGCTCTGTCATGGAGGCACTGAGCGTACAGGGACTTAAATTTTCTCCAAACACTCCACTGTTATTTTGAGTCTTTGCCTTCCCTCCAATATTTGACTTTTACTCTATCATTTCAAAGTGTGCTATAATTTAGTGAAATGATTATACTTTGGAATGAAAAGAATATCAGTTGGGAAGAAAGTAAGGCATTTGCATGCCTTTGCCCTTCCCTGCATTGTTTTATTACAGCTATGTCTTCTTCCACTATTTTTTCATCCTAAAACTGTGCCCAGATCATGGAGCATCTACTGGTTGAGTCCACAGTGCAGCACACGGGGAGTAAAGTGCCTGGGCTTCTGTGACTCTTTAAGTTGCAGCTGGGAAATCCAGTTGTATGAAGTAACTTACATGATAGAGCTGAAGAAAATGTACACACAGATTAAAAAACAGGTCCTGATGGAGTCTTTCTCTGATTGACTTTATATCTTATACCCATACCAATTAGCTACAGCAATTAGTCTATACTGACTGTTAGGATAATTGCTAATTGCTTACTCTATCACCAAGATGATATGTGTTAGAGTTTAAAAATCAGACAAAATGTTTGGTTTTATGCCCTTCACCAAACTGTTTTTGCTTAGCTGTGTTAATCTCTTTGCCAAGTTGACAAATTAATGTGTAGTGGATGCAACAGTTATATTTAGTGTAAAAACCCCTTATCTAGTATGGCCAAAGGAAGTGTTAGAAAAGTTGGTAACTTACCTATATTATAGTCACATGCTTAAGTTGATTAGTGTGACATTTAATTTGTGCTAATCATCCCAGGGTAGGCAGAGCATGAAATCAGCTGGGCAGGTGACACTTGTGTGCTGCCCAAAGTGCACGCAGGCTTGGAGCAGGGGCTGAGGCTGCTAGGCTGCATTCCCAGAGCAGGAGGCATGCAGAAACCCTGCAGTTCACTCTCGCCTGTCTTTTCCTATTATAGTCATCTGCTTTGTCTATTTTTATTGTGGTTTAAGTCCTGGAAATGTTACTTAAGTGAAACTTTTTTGTAGGAGACAGGGAGGAACTATGCAGTGAGCGTGGAGATGAACTCCTGGTGCTGCCACCTTAGAGCTCTGTTGTGAAAGGTCTTCTATACAAAATAAACCTTCACCCATATCTCTTCTCTGCTTTTAATTGTGAGATGGGTCTGAGGCTTTTCCATTTGTAATTGATGATTTATGAAAGCTAAAATGTGTCGTGTCATCTGTCAGACACCTGCAGTGACCGTAACATGGTGAGTCTAACTGTAAGGGTATAAAACTGTCTCAGACAAGCTTGTATTAGACCCAAATTTGGGAATTTCTGGTAGTTTTGGAGGCATACAATTACTTACCCTTCTATGTCAGAGAAAAGCGTTATGTTCCTCCTCTTGTTTTAATACTTCTTTAGATAGAGATCTGCAGTTCTCCTCGTTTACATAGCTAAGCCTTGATCATTGCCATATTGGTTATTCATAAATTCAAGACATTTTATATAGATCTCTTTTTCTTGCTCAGTTTTGCTCTAAGGTGTCAGACCACACTGGTAGGATGTGTGTTTGGGCTTCATGGCTTGCTCAGGATATGCTGGAGAAGGTGTCCTCTGAATTCTCCATGACTGAGACAACAAATGAGTAAATCTTACATGTTGCTATGTTCCCTCCCCCATGCTTTGTTACCTACAAGGCTAATGGGCAAAATTTGGTAAAAACACAACACAATGAAGGATATCCATTACTAATGCAAATTAGTGAAATTGCATCTGATACACAACTCGGTAGGGCATTCCAATATTTATACAATTTTAATGAAGAATTTGAAAGCAAATTACAGCATCCTTACAGCATCAAAAGGAGATTTCTTAAAACCAGAGTGATACTTACATGTTCCAAGATGTCTCTGTCATGTCTTACAGTGTATTTGATTTGAGATGAAACCAAAGGAATTAACTCCTGCCAGCCCTCTGTCAGTTCTGACTCGGTTTTCTAAGGCCTGACAACAGAGTTGGTGGGTTTGTCTTTGTCCCCATTTTTGAGTCAGTGTGGATGTTACTGAAGAAGCTCACATGTCATTCCAGACTGCAATGGAAGTGATGCAGTTCAGCAAGGAGGAGGTGCGAGAAGTTTTGAGGCTATTGGCTGGCATTTTGCATCTAGGAAATGTTGAGTTCATCACTGCTGGTGGGGCACAGGTGTCCTTTAAAACAGGTGAGAAGCTGTACATCCAAATGGAAATGTTTCTTGAGGTTGTGAAAGCTGTATTTGTTGCTGGTGTGTCTGACCATAGCAAGGACAAACAGTGAATGGGTCTTACTGCTTTCTAGCATCTGTAAATGTTGATTAAAATGTTATTTTGGGGTTTTTTTGACAGATGAGGCAAATTAGTCTGCTGCTGGATGCTAGGTCTTAATTAAGGAAGACCTTGAGCACATATTTATTCCTTTAGTAGTAGTGAAATTCCATTTTATTCTAATTGCTTCTTTGAAATATTCTCAAGTTGATAAAACGCAAGTGCTCAAGTACATTACTTAATTGAGATCTCCTCTGAAGGTATCTTTTGTTAGAGCTTTCAATACTTCAGTCACAGATCTGAAAGTATGTGCTGGTATGTCTAAAGATTCGGATGGCGAGCATTTTAAATGTTTATTCAAATATGGCAATAAAGAGTTGCATTATGTACTGCTTTATATACCACGTTATAGCAAAATTGTAAATTAAAGTATGCAGGTAAGAAAAAAATTTAATTGATTTTCTTTATCCTCATCATCCTAAGGGAACCTGAAACGCATTCATGTGGACAAAGTGAATTACTGTTTGTATCTGGAAAAATATGTTAGTGTAAGCAGTAGATTGTTGGAATTCTTGACATGTAACATTAAGAGGAAAATAAATATTTGTGACTTACTTGTGATGAATTTCTATGTCTAAATTTCTTCAGTTGTGCAGATTTGTGATACTGGGCCATTTCCATGAGCAGCAAAAATATATCCTAGAGTTTGTAGTTGTGTTTTTATCTTCAATCCCCGTCATTTTAGAAGCATCTTAAATGGTGGTGATAATAATAACACAACAAATTAGTTTCACAACCTTATACATTTAAGGACATACTTATATTTGACTCTTTCTTTTGCCAGCTCTGGGTAGATCTGCTGAACTGCTGGGGTTGGACTCCACACAGCTGACTGAAGCATTGACACAGAGGTCAATGATACTCAGGGGAGAAGAAATCCTAACACCTCTTAGTATACAACAGGTAAAGGCATCTCAGTTTTGACGTGTTTTTAAGTCTGTTAAATATGTGACTCTGTCTTCCAAGTCCAGTCAAATCATTGGTCACTCATGAACAGAAGCTTAGCTTATGCATCAGACTTGCTATCAAAAATACTACATATTTTTTGGGGGAAGGGTATAATTGGACTTTTAGAAATCTCTATAGATCCCATCCTATCATTCTGGCCAGGGTTTGTAGTTTGGCCTTTGTTATTCTTAAGCCTGAATGCTTACCATTTTTTTTCAAATTTTAATCATGTAGACTGATATTTTTAATTATGGACGTTTGTGTCAGGTTAGTGTTTTTGGAAACTTTCAGCAGAAATAATTTTATTATTTACAGGAAAGGGATTAGAAATAGGTATATGTAACATTATGGTTACCTCTAGAAAGGGGTAAATTAAGGTGTTATTTCCTACTCCTCTCTTTTCTTCCTCCACACTTTGTTTAGAATTTCCTAATTTTTGATGCTTTAGCTTTGAAATGTAATTTTAAAGCCACACAGGTTGTACAGCTGTTATAACTTATGCTGTTAAAGCTTAAATCATGATGCTCTGTAACTGTTAATGCAATTGCTGTCAGGGTACATAGGAATACAAACCTGTTTGCATTATACCTTGCTTTGCGCTGTGCAAAGGACACTGACCAGCAAAGGCTGGTAAGTTCTCGGTTACAGAGATGATTGATGTATTGTGTATTCCTTCTTTAATGCAGGCAATAGATAGCAGAGATTCTATGGCTATGGCACTTTATTCTCAGTGTTTTGCATGGGTCATTAAGAAAATCAACAGCAGAATCAGGAGCAAGGAAGACTTCAAGTCAATTGGAATTTTGGACATATTTGGATTTGAAAACTTTGAGGTACGTTTCAAAAGTTTGTTCAGATGGATTGCCTGATATTTATGCTTCATTGTTCTGCATATCTTTGTCATCTTCACTGGAACTTGGTTATTAAACATACTGTGACTTAAACCAGTTCCATGTTTGCAAAGTAAAATAACTTGGGGTGTATGCATTTTTGAAAATTTCTTGTCTCTTCAGGTAAACCGTTTTGAGCAGTTCAATATTAACTATGCAAATGAAAAGCTTCAGGAGTATTTCAACAAGCACATCTTTTCCTTGGAGCAACTGGAATACAGCAGGTAAGAGATACAGATGAAATTTGAAAGAATTTTGAAAATATCAGTATTCACTTTGAATCTGGGTTCCCAGCTACCTTTGCTTCCTTTGAGAACATCTCTGTCTGGAGGTGTGTATTTCTTAAAAGCAAGCTGATTTTGCTGCAATTTGCAAGATAAATACACCAGCTTCTCCTATTTCTATATTTAAAGTAATTTTGTTGTAGTTGTCAATAAAAAGGGCCTCCTTATTTTCCTTAGGGAAGGACTAATTTGGGAGGATATTGACTGGACCGACAATGGAGAGTGCTTGGATCTTATTGAAAAGGTAATAAAGGATTTGATACTGATACTTATTTTTAGTTTTTGTTCTGAGGTAGCACATCTTTGAAACACTTGCCAACACAAAGAACAACTGAAGAGAATGGTGGATCGTACATGTTTAAATAATGAACTTTTAATCAGATAATTTTCGTGCATGGATATATTATAGTTTATATTGTAAGCTCAATATATGTATCTTTCCTTGTAACCTTTAACAGTGTGTGATTGTATACAAAAGCAATATTTGGAGATGATTAAAAAGAATAGGAAGAGGGGGCAGAAAGAATGACAGTGTCTTGCTCCCATAATGGCTTTTCATGGGATGCGGGTAATGTGCGTTTGTTGCGTGCCAATTTTGGCTTCATCCATAATTTTGTTTGTGTTCTGCTTTGTGCTAAAGGAACATGTAAAAGAGCATGAAGTTCCTGCAGAGTTATTGGTAGGAACATTAGCTGTGAGGGGCAGATGAGGTCTGAATTCACCACATAGAAATTTTAACTCCAGCTGGATGATGCCGAAGTTACGTATCCTGTCATCCATGTTCACTTCTGCTAGCATGAGTTTATCTCTATAGCGGGGTGTGTGGCTGTGTGAGTTTAGACCACTACAGAAAGGGATGGCGGTGGGCAGGGGGTCCGGCTGCCAGGACACAACTGCAGTCAGGACGGTGTGGTTTGTCAGGAGCTGCTCTAGGATGATGGGAAGTGACTTATTAAAATATGCACCTGCACAGCTGTGTTTTTCTGAGAGGCTGTATCAACCTGAAGATTGCTGGACAAATTAATTAACTGCAGAGTAGCTTGCTTTGTTTACCACCTTTGAGTGTGAGGGGTAGGGAACATCAAGGGAAATTACACAGAGCCATATGCAAAGCAAAGGGAGGCTGTGTTTCACGCGGTGTGTAGTTTAACTGTATATGTTTTGCTGTGCCCCTGGGTGCTGTGGGTGCTAAAAATTTGCATTGATTCAACAACTGAGTAGGTAATTTTATGGAAGAAGAAGTTTTGGAAGGCTGTTTACACAAACTCCTCAGTTTTAAGGGACTCCTGATCACTGGAGATCTTGGAGGCTGGGGATGTATTCTGGGGCAATGTCATTGTATGCACTTAAAAACTCCCTTATCAGGACTGTTGCTTCTTCTAGTAGCTACTTTTTCTTTATTTTGCTCATGTATCATATGCTGTATGTTTCAAAAGGAGCATGGCCAGAAAAATAGGATTGCAGTCCTTTATGAGAGTGGGTACAGTCATGTACAGGTTGTTTTGTGCCTCTCTGCACACAACTTCAAGGACTTTGTGATTTTCCAAACTGGGGACATCTGTGTCCATCTGTGCACTAATTCATCTTCTGCCTCTTCTTGCTGTTGTAGAAACTGGGGCTGCTGGCGCTTATCAATGAAGAGAGCCATTTTCCTCAAGCTACTGACTCCACTTTGCTGGAGAAGTTGAATACCCAGCATGCTGTATGTGATGTTTTGCTCATGTTTTCTGTGCAAAGTATGGAGGGGCTCTTTGCTTCTGTAGAAATTCAGGGTTCAAATATATGGATGCATAGTTGTAGAGGCTGTGATCCTACTTCCATGGCAATCTGTATCATTTGCTGTCAAGACTGAGTTGGTTACCTGGAAGAACATATCCTTATTACTGTCCAGTTAAAGGTTTCCATATTGGTGAAGAAGCCAAATTCTGCTCTTAGAGCTCTGACAACGTGCAGTAACTTGGATTACTTAGATCTTCAATTTCCCTTGATTTAATGAAGTATTCACCTTGATGTCATTTACTGAAAGGTTGCTGTTTCCTCTATCCAGATTAGTGTTACCCTTGTTTGTGATCCTAGAATTATTTTCGAGAATTTCTGGGATACAGGTGTATCCACCAGTATTTGTAACTGCCAATTTAAGACAGAGCCTTCTTTTTCAAAGTGCCTTTAATAGGTGGTTCTGCCAGATGGGTTCAGGTTTAGTATAATGCCTTTTTAGATACTATAAATCTGTTATTACTGCATTTGAAGCAGCCTAGACTAACAAATCCTATTATTGTTATAAGTTGGTTGTTTGCTTATGGAGCACTAATCTTCCGAGGGGTTCACTGGAAGGCAATGGTTTGTTTAGGTCTGGGTTGAGAGGATAATGGGACCCTTTGTATCATTCCACTCCCTGTCCCTCCCCCCCTCAAATATTTTTTTTCTTTTCTTTCCCCTCCAATTAGAATAATCCTTTTTATGTAAAACCAAGAGTTGCTGTTCACAACTTTGGAGTGAAGCACTACGCTGGGGAGGTAATTTATTTTCTTTATTTGCTGAAACAAATCCAAATGCAGTTTTCGTTAGCTTAATTTTACCCTGAGGCTGCACAAAATTAACTAAAGCGCTCTGTTTCCTCAGCGCTTTTTACAGTACTGCTCTTGTGAGAGGTGCCTGACTACTTGGCTTGTTGTTTGAATCGGCTCTGTTTCCTGTTAGGTCCAGTATGATGTCAGGGGGATCTTGGAGAAGAACAGAGATACTTTCAGAGACGATCTCCTGAACTTGTTACGCGAAAGCAGGTATGTTTCTGCGATTTTTGTTTAGGACGTGTTGTTAAGGGATGTCGTATCACCTAATTCTGCCAAGGTATATCACATAATTCTGCCAGGGTTTGAGTATGTTGGATGTTATATAGCATCAGACCTAAACAAAGTTGAAATGAGCATAGAAGAAATATCAGGTGTGCCTGTAATCAGATCTGACTGTAATTGGTTCTCACAAAGTCGGGTTTTCCCACATTGTACAGTACCTCGTCCCTGTTCGGTCCAGGGGATTGCTAGAGAGCTCAATTGCTACTCAGTGTTGAGTAAGGATGCTGAAAGCTCGTGATGGTTTTTAACTGGTTCAGGGTGCCTCATAGGCAGCGTGCATGCGTGGTTTTTTGCTTCACGTACAGCCTGATT